AAATTTTGATCTGTGTCAACTTGCGTCAACTGGTGGTTGCGCTGTTGCCAGGCCCAGTCAGTTGGTTTTTTAACGTTAATTTTGTACTTTTGTGTGTTTGGTTGATCATTTGTTTTTATTACGCGCCACAGAAGGAGTTTTAGSGTGTTTTTTCTTYGATTGTATTTCAGGACAGCTTGGGGAGTCGCGTGCTGCTTAGCGCGAGGTTGGCTGTCCTTGTCTCACTCACCAGGCAACGGGACGGTTTGGGCAYTTAGGAGATTTTTTATTTCCCTGATTATCTTTTTTTCGCCAAATTATATAGGGGGGTGGGCACACAATGCACGCATCGGCATGTGTCCTAAAATAATTGCTTTATCGACAACCCAAAAATTAGAAAAAGCTACTTTTTGGATATTTTGTTTTTTTCTGAACAGCCGAGATTTTAATCAAACAAATCATCCTCCGTAAAACATCGGGGCCGTCCAAAGGTACACAGCAAGCATTTTTCAAAAATTCCAGCCCTATTGATTGTGGCAAACACGTCCAATATCCGGTTTTCCGGGAAATATCTCCAAAACCGCCAACAGCGGAGCGATTTTGCTCACGTCACCGGATCAGGAGGCTCAACGCCAATAAAAAAGCTTCTATCAGCTTTTTCGCTAAAATACATAATAAGCCAGCTACAAAGGATTGTTCGCCTTGCGACTCATTTTATTAGTGCGCCAGACAAAGCCCCTTGCAATAGCAGATACACTGTGGACTAGGGCTCGGAATTTTTTTAAATCTGAAATTCGAATATTTGAAAACTATTAAAATGAGTGAAATTTGAATATAAAAAAAAATTAAAAGTTGATAACGCGAATCACCAGAACACAGAAACGTAATTTTATATTCATTTGCAGGAGAGTAAATATGATTATTTTCATTTGCTTGTAMATATATGGGTATTTGTTTAAATGCTTGTAGAATATGAATCATTTATTTTATAAAAGTATACAAAGTGCATATAAAGATATTTGCACCTTGTGAGTTTGATAATGTTGGTGTATTCGAGTAATCGAATATTCGGATATTCGAATATTCGAGTTATGAATACACATAATTATTCGCTTTTTGAATATGCGAATACTCGAATTATTCGAGTTTAATTCCAAGCCCTACTGTGGACGATTTAGCACAGTCGTTCCCAAACTTTTTAAGTTTTACTATTTTCGGTAGACCCCCTGCTGGTACATTTCTACTGTATTCCCATAACTCCTCAAAAATATCACCCCGAATTGG